GGAGTCTTCTGAGTTTTATAAGATGGGAGATGAAGTTTACTATATGTAAATGTAAACATATGTCCATTAAGAAACATGTAGTTTTTTTTTAAATGTAGTAACCCAATGGCTTAATGTTTTTCTTAATCTTTTTTTAACTTTAGAAGAATCTTTTAGGAACTAATATCTCTTGTTTTGAAGAAACATTTATCTGAAGTTCAGCAATTCCTACAGTTTCACTTCAGTTTCTTTTTCTTCTGTCAAATTCAAGAAAATTTAATATTTTGAATAACATTCATATTACTTAAAAGCAATAAAACTTGGTGTACATATCATGGCTATTTATTTAAAAATTAGTATAGTTGTGTCAAAATTTATTTTTTAAGTAACAGTTATAGTATGTATTAAGTTTAAGGATTATCACTTATTTTCATCAAAAATCTAAAATAGTACTTAGGTCTTGGGAACTGTTATTTTAAATATAAAAAATGTCACAGAATACAGATGTTATCATGTGCTAAAAAGTTAGCACAGGATTCCAAGTGAAATTCAAGACTTCAAAGTGCTTCTAGTCTCTGCTTCATCTAGACAAGGTATTTGAAGATTCCTTTGATTTTTGCTTAAAGAAAGATATTAAATTTATATGCCACCATTTGTTTCATTTCAACTTTCAGATACATTTCAAAATGTTTTTCCTTTAGGTTTGGACACTCAAATATGAAATTGTTAGCATTTCCATCATAGGTTAATTAGTTCTTTTTAGCTATCTTAAGGAGTAGGGCGGGGGGGTGATTAGTGAAGAAAAAAATTGTTTCTGCTCCTGCTCAGAATATACACCCGTTGATTATAGCTTTGCATATTTGTTCCCAAATGTGTCCTACTTGTAATTTTTGTTTGAAAGTTTCTTTCTTGGTAATCAGAGAAACTTACTAGCATGGAGATTATTGGTAATTATAAAAGCTATCCCAAGAATCATTTCCCAGGTAAGTGTAGAAGGAAACTTCTAACAAGTTTTAAGAAACAAAGCATTTCTATATTACTAAGTGGTTTGATCCGGTCTTCAGCTTACTGGAGCCCCCTAGTTGGACAGATATCAACCACCAGCCCCGTCCTTTGTGCCTTTAGCTCAGCTGTTAGATCAGCCACACTCTAGGAGAGTCAAGGCTGGGTTTCAGTGTGTGGAAACAAACCCTTCTTAATTCACTGGTCAGGTTTTGAACATTGAGGTATACATGTTTGTTCAGTGTTAGCTGCTGGCTTGTTATTGTTAAGTAGTAAGTGATTGATGTTCCTTGAATGAGAGCATGAATTCCTTTGCATATATTAGAAAAAAGACTAGATACCCTTTACAGAAACGGCATTTTATTTCCCAAAGGAAAGTCCACTTATAAAATGATTAAGCCTTGTGTTTAATTTTTTAGCCTTTACTATCTTTTGGTGCTCTTCTCTTCATTTTTAACATTGTTAACAACAGATACTCCAAGGAATGCTTTTAATTCTGACTTGATTATTGCTTGCCATTTTATTCCACACCGAAAGAGTATCTGGATTAAACACTAAGGCAGCCTCAAAATTACTTTAACTGAAGCAGAACATCATTATTGCTTCAAGAAAAGCAAATTGGGGAAAAAAAACCCTAACAGTACAAAGTTATTTATAGTTTTTATGTAACATTGGACATTTAGTAATGCAGCTTAATGGGTTTGGTACAGTGACTTTCCCACTCATGTCCAGATTTGATTGTAACATTAAACAGCGTTGACTAACTCTAACTGTTTTGGACAGCTGGCACTAACAGAAGAAGAGCCTATTACATTTTTCCTTCAGGACGGATGCTCTAGCTGGCTAGTTGATGAAAGTACTTAATAGTTTTGGAAAATAATCTGTCTTCCACATGATGGCCCAAATAAAGGAGAAAAATGTAGCCTGCAAAACCTGCTTCTATGTTCACACATTTCCTTGTCCTGGGACTTAGTGTTGCCAACCATTGCATGGGACTCACTATATAAACTGTAAATTCCAAAGGCCATTGCTAATCTTGCTTTCTGCATTGGTTCAGGAAATAATCCAATTTTAAAGATTGTATTTAAGAAGAATTTTATAATAGGATAGTATCTTGTCTGTTCTAGATCTGTTACCAACCAAATCCAAGATCATGGATTTTCCAAGTCCAGAGAATATACCAGCAGGGTCTTAGCACACTGTCTAAAGGCCAGTGGAGCCCAGCCAGCATCAACCTGTGAACCAGAAGGTCACAGTTTGATTCCCAGTCAGAGCACATGCCTGTGTTGCTAGCTCAATCCCCAGTGTTGGGGCATACAGGAAGCAGCCAATCAATGATTCTCTCTCTTCATTAATGTTCCCTCCCACCTCTCTCTCTCCCCCCCCCTCCTTTCTGCAATCAATAAAAATTATACTTAAAAAAAAAGGCAGCATATAAGCATAACCAATGGACATAAGACACTGGGGGATAGGGGAGGCTAGGGGACTGTCTAGGGTGGGGGGAAAAAATGGACACATATGTAATACCCTTTGTAATACTTTAAGCAATAAAAAAAAAATACAATTCTTAGTAAAAAAAAAAAAAAAAAGGCAGATGGAAGTCCAAACAGATCTCAGGAAATTGCAGAGCCCTTAACTTTCTTCTTTAGATTAATACTTTTTATCATTTTGCTTTAATTCAGCGGGCAGCCATAATAAAAGAAGTCATTTCAGTAACCTGTCAAATAAATGTAAATGTATTATTCTACCTAATTCATTTATATAACATATATAAAACTTCTGGAAAATTTTCCATTCTGCATTTTCCAAGTATGTGTGTTTCTTACCTTTTTAAGCTAACATGATAAAAGGGCAATTGGAGTAAAATAAGAGACTGAATATGTTGCTCAAACTAAAAATATATAAATTTGCCAATTTCTTCTGAACTTGAAACTATACACAAATGGGTAGCTTGCCAAAGCTGCCTTTACAAAGACAGATCAAGTTTGTATTGGAAAATGAGTTCGTATGGAGATGTGTGTTTTATAGAAACCCCAATAAGACAAGCATTTTATTCACCCAACGTTAGTGACTAATGAGTGCGAATCAAAGACTTGTTTCTACAAAGGGTTCTAGGCGCTTACATCATTCCTCTTGCTTGGCAGGAAGGAGTGTTTAGCCTTAGGGAGTGGGTAACTTTTATTCAACTCAGTTATATCAATAACTTCTCCATTGTTGTAGCGAAGGTGAGCTCTAGATTATATATGCAACGAATCTTGTTTTTAAACAATCCGTGGCAGCCAGGAGAGAAATAAAGTTACATTTTTGTTGAACATGTAACTGTTTCTCCTTCTCCTTTCCCTTTTAATAAGAGCCGTTTAGTGAGAGCTGTGGGCTGTGTGGCAGCCAGGCATGAGGTGAGTGTTTTTACCTGAGGAGGATAGAGAAGGTCATTCAAAGTTAAGGGTATGTTTTCAGTATTTGTCTCTCCTGTCTTAAGACAGTTTTACGAAGAGAAAGTTGGCCATGCCTGTCATTTAGTTTCATCCCATCCTTGCAAAAGAAATAAAAAACTAAAACACAGAATCCAAACAAGTATTTTTTAAAAAGTCTTGGACACCTATGCTTTCTGCTCCCGTGCTCCCCCTTTTGGCAAATTGTAAGTACTTTCTCAACCATTTCGCAATTTCCTCTCTCGAATTGCTCAGAGACTTGAGTCACCAAACTTGGTTTACTTCTGTGGAAAGTCACTCTTCAGAACACAGGAGGAAATGAAAGATTCCTGTTTTTCAGTGAAAGCATTAGTTCCCACCCAGTTCAGAGTGTAACTGCAGGTTCCTGGCATGGCCACTTGCTAACATTGCACGTGAAACCTGGTTCAGCTGCCTCCCGCACATCCCCCACTGGGGATGTGCCCGCAACCCAGGCACATGCCCTTGACCGGAATCGAACCCGGGACCCTTCAGTCCGCAGGCCGACGCTCCATCCACTGAGCCAAACCGGTTTCGGCCTCCTTTCCCTTTTAATGAGAGCCGTTTAGTGAGAGCTGTGGGCTGTGTGGCAGCCAGGCATGAGGTGAGTGTTTTTACCTGAGGAGGATAGAGAAGGTCATTCAAAGTTAAGGGTATGTTTTCAGTATTTGTCTCTCCTGTCTTAAGACAGTTTTACGAAGAGAAAGTTGGCCATGCCTGTCATTTAGTTTCATCCCATCCTTGCAAAAGAAATAAAAAACTAAAACACAGAATCCAAACAAGTATTTTTTAAAAAGTCTTGGACACCTATGCTTTCTGCTCCCGTGCTCCCCCTTTTGGCAAATTGTAAGTACTTTCTCAACCATTTCGCAATTTCCTCTCTCGAATTGCTCAGAGACTTGAGTCACCAAACTTGGTTTACTTCTGTGGAAAGTCACTCTTCAGAACACAGGAGGAAATGAAAGATTCCTGTTTTTCAGTGAAAGCATTAGTTCCCACCCAGTTCAGAGTGTAACTGCAGGTTCCTGGCATGGCCACTTGCTAACATTGCACGTGAAACCTGGTAAACAGTCACAGGATCCAGAGCTTGAAAGGAACCCCTGGATGATTCACGTAATCATTTATTAGACTGGGGACTTCGAAGGGCCTCTTTCACCCTCTCCACGGTGCAGGGATCAGCACTGCAAGGCTTGAAGCAGATCTCTTCCCGTCTCAGTAGTGACCGCAGTGCGGCTCACTCCTCACCAGAGACCCTGTTCCATTGTTAAAGAGCCCAGTCCGATTCGTTTCTTGGTCCTGAAAGTGCAGCACACTCGTAGAGGAAGAAAAAAATTTTCAGAAAGCAGTTAGACAAACCAAGATTGAACAAATTTGACTTCCAGTAGCTCTTTAATCATGATAATCCTAATCACAATCGTGATGATGACGATGGTAGCAGCCAACCCATTATTGAGCACTTAGAATGCACCAAATAGTGTCCTGAGTGCTTTACCTATAAAGACTAATGTGACTCTCACACTCAGTCTATGAGGTACGTACTATTATCTTCATTCTATAATGAGTAGACTGAGGCACAGAGAGGCGTCCAGTGTTACACAGCTGATATCTGCAGCAGAACGGGGGTGGGGGTCTAAGACCTGTACTCCCAACTGCTAAGCTGTACTGCAGTGTGACCCATGTGCATCTGGTTGCATCTATGCAGACAGGTCAATGTCTATTTATGAACTAGAATATGTGTGAAATTATTTTTCACGCTTCTTATAATTATTTTTTTTCTTTTAATGTGTCCACTCACTATACCTAAAGAACAAACACTAAGTGATTAAAAATAAACACAACCAAGTAGATGAGGGAATCATA